ACCGCAGTATGGGCTTATTTCTCCTAAATGCATTTCTTGGGGAAGGTATAAAGTATGTTGGGCAAGTTTGGGAGATGCTGCAGCAAAGAAAGGAAACTCATTTGTGAAGAAGCTTTTTATGTTTTCATAGTTTACGGTTATGCTGGCTTTAAAACTGGTAACAGAAGATTTCCTTTGGCTTCTAAGCAACCAGTCAAAACTATTGTAAAATTAGATCAAACCAACCACAATGTCATTTGGTAGACATTTGCAAACTCCTTTTATACCTAATTAGATTGGTTTATTGGTCTACAGCAATTTGACCACAGTGTAAACCATTGATGTCAGTTTGCTGTACACCAGTCATGTTTTATAAAAGTGGCTGCATCTATAGCTATCAGAACAGCTATTCACATCTTCTGACACCAGGCACATCATGAAATCTTGCGTATAGTTTTAAGCATCTTATGTATACGGTTTGTTTTTTGTTTTTTTGAGCATTGGTGCTTATAAAATAAACCATAACTAGCTTGCCTTTCTTTGTAGTAGGAAGACTGATGCACAAAAAAAACCACAAAGTAAAAGTAGGCATGACCTACTTCACATGTCTTGTTTGTGTAATGCTTCAGGAAAGCGTAACTGCAAAGTTTATGTTTGAATCAAGCATAGGGGATTTTTTTTTTAAAGCAAAAACATTGTGGCTTCTGTGCTTTGTATGATGAATATTTCAGGAGCTCCGGTACCAAAACCATTTTAAAAGTGGGCAGTTTTGCTTGCAGAGGATGTGCCATTTAGAAGTTTAGATCCATTTTGTCTTCATATGTTAGTACGTCTGTTCTAAATCTGTACCACAACCATGTTAAAGGTGCACAGTTTCACTTTTAAATGATGTGCCATCTAGAAGTTTAGATCCATCTTGTCTTCATCTGTTAGTTCATCTGTTAAGCTGTGTGGACCCCGGTGTCTTGATCTGCATTTGCTTGCTTTGATGAATGACAATACAAAGATCCACAAGACTGAAGTCGCCACAACCCAAGGGGATCTAATGCATGGGGTCATGTAACCCCCAGTGACTGAATGGACTGTGGAGTAATGGAACAACACAGGGTAGGGAAAATGAATAGCACATGCATGAATGTTTGTCTCGCTCTTTCTGCAGTGTTGCCCTTATAGCTCGGTATAAAAGGGGTCTTACAGGACCCATGTGCCATTGTTTCATGTTTGAAATCAGTTCTGCTGAATTACATATTGTGCACCAGGTCAGTTTTAGGAAGTCGTGTGATTTGTTTCGGAAAAATTCACCTTTCCGACAAATTTTCGTTATTCGGAGATTCGGATGTATCCGAGCCTCCGAATAACAGAAATGATGAATGAAAATGAATCCGAATTTTTCATAAACTAAATTAACGTTAGTCCTGTATGAACGTTTGTGGAGGCATTTTCGTTGCAGAAAAGTGACATTAAAAATCCGAATCAAAACGAAACTAAACACATTTTTTTTTGCTGGTGCACATGTCTAGTTTTAGGGCCTGTTCACACGATGTCCGTTTTCTGTGGTGACCTGATCCGTACGCTCCTGCACTAAAAATGCATCCCAATGTATCCCTATGTGTTTTATGGGCTACAGTTCTCACGTGCGCAGTCCGTTCAGGTTACGACAGAAAAATACTGCATGTCACATTTTGTACGGCCAGGAAACGGTCCGAAAACGCGTCAAACGCACTGCAATGCATCTAACATACTTTCCTCACTCTAGCAAAAAAAAAAAAAAAATTTTTTAAACTGGAACGCATCAAAAACGCGGCAAAAACACATAGCACCGTGTCTGCAGATCCGCACCTGATCAGGACCTGAAACTCATGTGAACAGGTCCTTAGGGACAACACGCTGGCAACACTTGTGCAAAAATTCTGTAATTATATGTTGTTCATCACAGTAAATCTGCCACTTTTAAGGCAAGGTTACACTGTTGCTGGGCAGACCATGCATTTATTCCTGTTGCTTTGTAAATACATCCTGGCATTGCTGTGTAATAAAAGAAAAATCAGTAAATGTATCACTTGTATTAAATCTTCTATTAAAAAATTCTGCCCAGACAATCATGTAGCAGCTACATAGAGGCAAAGCTGGGAGAAATGCAGCTATTTAGTCAACATGGCAGTGCACCAAGGCAATTTACAATTTTTTCATAGTATTATTATTGCAGAAGTATTTAGTAAACATGTGTAACTTTGTCAAATTATTGCAGTTTGTACGAACGTTTCTTGTTAGGTGACATTAACTGTACATGTGTACTACTCCCTCTACATTTTTTATAATCTAATATGTAGAAATATTTGCTGAGTACTTAATTTAGGTTGTAAAGTAATTTGTGTGCTGTCCCATATATAGATGAACCAAATTACAGGAGCTGGACACAAGCTGTTTGGCGGGGCAAACCCCCTGCAGCAGGAAGCCTTTTGTTCTAAGAGCAATAACTTCTGCAAGGCCAGGGCTTGGATTGATTAGTGGAAGCACGTGGGTGGATGGTATGGCAAGAGAATTCAGCTGAATAAACCACTTGAACAGTGACCTGCATGTGCACATCACCCTTTTCCTCCATTTGCCCTAAGGAAAAGGAGTTGCTTGAACTTAGTGATAATGCATCTTTGGCATGTCTTAACAGAGCAGACGTTCCCAGTGAGTAAAACATTTCCGCTGTGAACTCCTTCACAAAGTGATTCATCACAGGCCCATATTTTACACAATTCTTGGCTTTCCTCACATCTTCCAGTTAAACATTCATGTCGACTTGTCAGCAAAATGTACAAAGACGTCATTGCTAGATATTGAAAGATATTGGTGTTGATCATTAAAGATCGTTTTTAAAAAATGAAAAGGATTTAGTAAAATAAAGGGCTGGTCCTGATGTAGTTCTCATCTGGACTTAAATGACAAAGTTATTAAATTAAACCGCTTGTTACTGTAACCTATTCAATTTAATAATTAGCTATTTAGTAATAGCCATAAACCCCCCCTCCCCCCCCCGCCCCCTTTTATTCTGTTTTGCATTTTTTTTTATGTTTCAAGGGGCAGTACTGGCTTTGATTGTTTAAATTAAGCAATGCTCATTAACGTGCGTGCATTTAGTGTTTGTTCAAACCATGTCCGGATCACGTCCAGACCAGAATAGTATGTTCCTGGACCAAAAAAGCAGCCCAATGTATCCCTATGGTATTTCTAGGCTCTGTTCACACCAGCACAGTGCGTTCCAGACCAGACACAAAAAAAATACTGCTTGTCTCGTTTTCTCTGGTCTGGAATGCATTGCATGGAAAATGCATACAAAATGCTTACAAACACACTGGACCGCACCTGTAAGCCCATTTAAAGCAAAAAAAAAATAAACGCTCCGAACGTGGTAAAATCACGGCAAAATGCAGTGCGCCGTGTTCCGGAAAATGGTGTGGACCTGGCCTTAACTCACCACACTGGACCTACCTGAAGTAAATGGGCCATTATGACTGTAGCTCTGTTTGGCACAGCTGAAGTTTTCATTAAACTTCACAGAAACTAGGTAACTATTACATGTTCAAGTCCCCACATGTTTTGCTTGTTTTAATTCCACTCAGCCACACCTTGCTTCTTGCCATTTCCTGTAGACTGTGAGCAGTGCCCTCTTTACCCCATTGCTTGACTTATGTTGCCCACAGCCTGTTCAACTTCATAAGTGTTCATTGCAACTGTCCTTGTCACAATCTATGAGCACCAGATGCATGCAGCAAATGTAACAATGCATACGTGACATAAATATTCCCATTTTTCACAGACAAGGGCCCCGCATAATGAATAACCTCCAAAATTTGCATGATTGGTACTTTGTCCCTTAATGAATGACAATGAATATTATAGCAGAATTGGGCCAGTGTATAGCCAGCCTATAAAGGGGACATCTTACAAACTGTATGCCATAGTGCTCAATGTACATATTAGAATAGTGAGCACACATTGAGCATCAACTTAGGAATAATGAACAAATGTAAAGTTTTTACTTCTGAAGACAGTATTTTAATGGAACAGAACAGCAGTTGACCATTTCATTGTGCCTAAAGTGCCAACTTTAAATACATTCACAATGCAGTTCACTACGGAGTAGAATAGATTTACATATACAGTGTTTATAAAGAGCATTTGACATGTAAAAATGCAATTCTCATATTCAGTAATATACTAAATGAATTTGCCTTCTATAAGAAGGATCTTGTTACTACAACTCCTTTAGTCCCAATTCTGCAGACAGAGCTCAGCTGCCTTGCAAATCATTTAACAACTATGGGGGTAATTTATCAAAACTGGAGCAGACAAAATGTGGAGCAGCTGCCCAGGGCAACCAATCAGCCTCTTTGTTCAGTTGAAAATGAAAGAGAGACGCTGATTGGTTACCATGCACAGCTGCTCCAAATTTAGTCTGCTCCAGTTTTGATAAATTCCCCTCAATGAATGTAAGTCTTTATATTATATGCAAATAGCAGCCATTCATGAAAATACTGAAACCTGCCAACAACTAAATGGATGCAAAATTATTTTTCCCCCCTAAATTTGTGAGGTGAAAGCAGCTCAACCATTCCCCCTATGTATGCAATGATAGCGTTTTCAACATAAGACTATGGTGGACTTGACCTGATTGCAGGCCAAGGCTCTATCCATATTTGAAATGAACAATATCTATGCCAGAGTGACCTGCAGTAGTTCTATTTTAGGGAAATAATCTACTGTTTAAAATGTCAAATTGTAAATCCATATAAAGACAATCCAGACCTCCAGTGAATGGTAACGAGGACATGGACTGACATTTTATGTATGGTGTGTTTTTAGTTAGCTTTTCCTTTTTAAACCAGAAAGGATTCACTTTTTTTGCACTGTGTGTGAGTGTGCTGATATTTCCATCCCCCAACAGATGCCGTGTAAGTGACATACATCACAAAATGCTGGCCCCTGTAACCTCTCTACAGCCATCTTGTGCAAATTTTCCAAAGACTTCCTAACCCTAATTTAGGCCTTTGCCATAATCTCCCCAAACAGATATGGCACGTGACGGTACAGTTTCAGCATAAACAGTATTTAGCTTGTTAGTGCCTAAAGCCACTTACATACTGTAGCAATCCAGCTGCACATACAGGTTTTTGAATCCAAGGAGTGCAGCTGCCTTTTATCATATGGTAGACTCGTTCTCAAATATTTTTGCTTTCAAAGACTGTAAGTTATGCTGAATAAAATTGTCTGATCCAATGGTTTCAGAGAATCGCGAATCCTTCCTCATGGGACGGTTCCTCTTCTTGATGGAATTTTGAATGGTCTCTGATGTAAAATAGTAAATAATGGGGTCAAAGCAGCAGTTTGATACTGCTATGCAGAGTGTAATGGGGTACATAGTCCTAACTGCTGCCTGCACAGAGCAGTTACTAAAAGCCTGAGTTCTCATAAGCGAGTAAAGCACCAAATTAACATTATAGGGGATAAAACAGAAGCAATAGATTGCCAGATGGACAACGATCATCAGAAGCACCTTCTTTTTGTTGAGTTTGCTCCTGCTTAATGTCACTGGCTTCTTCAGGGTCTTTAAAACCATTGTTGAACAGAACACATTGAGTATGAGGGGGATGAAGAACCCTACTATTTCAATGAAAATGACGATCTTCGACAGATAGGTTTTCCAGGTATCGTCAGAGAAGTTCTCAAAGCAAGTCTCTGAAGAGCTGTTATTCTTTGAGTTTGTTGAGCGAAAAAAGCTTGCAGGGACACTGCCCGTGAGCACAATGAGCCAAACAACCCCACACGTAATTTTTGCTTTCTTTTTTGTCCTGATGGTCTTTGACCGAAATGGATGTACAATTGCTAGAAAGCGGTCCACACTGATGCAAGTGAGAAACAAGATACTTCCATACATATTTGTATAGAAAAGAGTCACTGATATCTTGCACAGCGTATCTCCAAAGGGCCAGTTCCTTGCCGCAAAGTAGAAAATCCGAAAAGGCAGTGTAAACACAAAGAGGAGGTCAGAAATGGCTAAGTTGATCATGTACGTTGTGGTTTCATTCCTCACTTTTAAGGTGCAGATGAAGATGTACAAAGCAACACAGTTTGCAATCAAGCCAAGCACAAACACCATGCTAAATATACATCCATACAGGATGTACTTAAATTCATCATACACTGGGCAGTGTGTTGTATTGTTTACCATCTTCAATGGTAGTCCAGGCACGCCAGGCAGTTTGTGCTGGTCCTTTGTTGAGCTATACGTTTAACGGTCACCGATCATTGGCTGTGCACGTGTGGCCAGCTTGGAGCTTCCCCTTGCAGTTATCCAGTGGTGTGAGGTCCAGCAAGAACTATCCCAATCCAGCACTGGGTATCAGTTGGGAGATTTTTCAGTGTGTTCGTTTCCACAAGGCTCTCTACAATCCACTTGCAAATTTTCAGTCCTTAACATCTCCACAATTTGCGTTTATGACTTCCTTCAAATTCTTTGATCCAGAAATACTTGTTACCTTTACAGCTGTGCACCTTTTATTCCTGGTGGTAGAAGGTTAGGCAAGGGAAACATGCTGCAGTATCAAAGAGCAATGCAGGATCATCTGCCGAGTAAGAGAGAGGTGTATTTTCAGTCTTGCTGTGCTTCTGCTGGAAGTGCAAACTTCAGAGGAGGAAGCTCTCTTCTCTCTCTCTCTCACGCTGCTGTTCATCAAAGTTTCCAGTAAAAATGTGAGCCTGTGTAGCACACACGGCAGAGTTTTAAGCAGCAACAAGTTCCACAGCTGGGTGTGATGTGTATTGCTTGTGGTGGCTTCTGCTTCTCTGAGCGCTCTCACACAAAAGCTTGAATAACACAGGAAGAGGCCGGCCCTAAACAAAGGCTAGACTCTGCCCAGATTGTTTGCTTGTGTTGCCTACTGTGTGATAAAACGTCCTCTAGGACTATACCTGAGAGAATTTCAAATGATCAGGCAGGGATATCTCTCAGCAATCACTTAACTCTTGCTGTGCCATACTGTTCAGGCAGTCTGTTTAGAATGTGTGACTTGTCCATGCCATACTAACCCAGCCTGTTCTAACTTCAGGAACAACATTTCATAGAATTTATATATACAGTATTTTTTGCTTTTTGTTGTTGTTTGCAATTGGAGTATCTGAGGCCAATTTTTTGGATGGCGTAGGGAGGGATTATAGCTTCTGTCAGGTTTTTTTTGCTTGGCAATGGTAAATATACAACAAGCAGCCACCCATTTTGAGTTCTTTTTGAATATTGTTGTTTCTGTATTGCGGAGATTCACATGCTCTTTCTCGCAAAATTCTAAGGCTCCATTCACACCTAGGCGTCCTGTTGCTCAAAGCTAAAGCAAAACAAACGACAAACGCACTCAACAATTTGTTACCAGTTATACAGTAAGGTGCACACGAAATGGGCTTTGAACAGTAGAACAGTAGAAAGGCATCATGGCACACTCACAAACCAGCATGTAAAACAACTTGTCTCACCACTAAGGACAATGACAGAGGTTTGGATACACGTCTTCTGCAAAGGATGTGTAAGCCGCACTGCCGCGCCAAGGCACCTCTTATAGTGCGGTCCTAACTCTAAACTATGAGAGTCTCCATCTTGGAGCACATGGGGCAGAAGATATCAAATTGGGTGCAGGCCTGCCAGGAGGACGCCCCACCTCCTTAAAGGTACAGAAACACACACATCCTTTGCAGAAGACGTGTATCCAAACCTCAACCCCATGCGTCGCTGCACCAAATCGGTAAAGCAAAACAAACGACAAACGCACTCAACAATTTGTTACCAGTTATACAGTAAGGTGCACACGAAATGGGCTTTGAACAGTAGAACAGTAGAAAGGCATCATGGCACACTCACAAACTAGCATGTAAAACAACTTGTCTCACCACTAAGGACAATGACAGAGGTTTGGATACACGTCTTCTGCAAAGGATGTGTAAGCCGCACTGCCGCGCCAAGGCACCTCTTATAGTGCGGTCCTAACTCTAAACTATGAGAGTCTCCATCTTGGAGCACATGGGGCAGAAGATATCAAATTGGGTGCAGGCTTGTCAGGAGGACGCCCCACCTCCTTAAAGGTACAGAAACACACAAGGGATCCCGCACATCCCATTGGCAGCTGAGAAACCCCATGCGTCGCTGCACCAAATCGGTAAAGCAAAACAAACGACAAACGCACTCAACAATTTGTTACCAGTTATACAGTAAGGTGCACACGAAATGGGCTTTGAACAGTAGAACAGTAGAAAGGCATCATGGCACACTCACAAACTAGCATGTAAAACAACTTGTCTCACCACTAAGGACAATGACAGAGGTTTGGATACACGTCTTCTGCAAAGGATGTGTAAGCCGCACTGCCGCGCCAAGGCACCTCTTATAGTGCGGTCCTAACTCTAAACTATGAGAGTCTCCATCTTGGAGCACATGGGGCAGAAGATATCAAATTGGGTGCAGGCTTGTCAGGAGGACGCCCCACCTCCTTAAAGGTACAGAAACACACAAGGGATCCCGCACATCCCATTGGCAGCTGAGAAACCCCATGCGTCGCTGCACCAAATCGGTAAAGCAAAACAAACGACAAACGCACTCAACAATTTGTTACCAGTTATACAGTAAGGTGCACACGAAATGGGCTTTGAACAGTAGAACAGTAGAAAGGCATCATGGCACACTCACAAACTAGCATGTAAAACAACTTGTCTCACCACTAAGGACAATGACAGAGGTTTGGATACACGTCTTCTGCAAAGGATGTGTAAGCCGCACTGCCGCGCCAAGGCACCTCTTATAGTGCGGTCCTAACTCTAAACTATGAGAGTCTCCATCTTGGAGCACATGGGGCAGAAGATATCAAATTGGGTGCAGGCTTGTCAGGAGGACGCCCCACCTCCTTAAAGGTACAGAAACACACAAGGGATCCCGCACATCCCATTGGCAGCTGAGAAACCCCATGCGTCGCTGCACCAAATCGGTAAAGCAAAACAAACGACAAACGCACTCAACAATTTGTTACCAGTTATACAGTAAGGTGCACACGAAATGGGCTTTGAACAGTAGAACAGTAGAAAGGCATCATGGCACACTCACAAACTAGCATGTAAAACAACTTGTCTCACCACTAAGGACAATGACAGAGGTTTGGATACACGTCTTCTGCAAAGGATGTGTAAGCCGCACTGCCGCGCCAAGGCACCTCTTATAGTGCGGTCCTAACTCTAAACTATGAGAGTCTCCATCTTGGAGCACATGGGGCAGAAGATATCAAATTGGGTGCAGGCTTGTCAGGAGGACGCCCCACCTCCTTAAAGGTACAGAAACACACAAGGGATCCCGCACATCCCATTGGCAGCTGAGAAACCCCATGCGTCGCTGCACCAAATCGGTAAAGCAAAACAAACGACAAACGCACTCAACAATTTGTTACCAGTTATACAGTAAGGTGCACACGAAATGGGCTTTGAACAGTAGAACAGTAGAAAGGCATCATGGCACACTCACAAACTAGCATGTAAAACAACTTGTCTCACCACTAAGGACAATGACAGAGGTTTGGATACACGTCTTCTGCAAAGGATGTGTAAGCCGCACTGCCGCGCCAAGGCACCTCTTATAGTGCGGTCCTAACTCTAAACTATGAGAGTCTCCATCTTGGAGCACATGGGGCAGAAGATATCAAATTGGGTGCAGGCCTGCCAGGAGGACGCCCCACCTCCTTAAAGGTACAGAAACACACACATCCTTTGCAGAAGACGTGTATCCAAACCTCTGTCATTGTCCTTAGTGGTGAGACAAGTTGTTTTACATGCTGGTTTGTGAGTGTGCCATGATGCCTTTCTACTGTTCTACTGTTGCTCAAAGCTAAGCGCGACAAAACGCTTAAGACAAAGTATCTCATTTGCTAGTCATGAGTGCGACAAAACGCTCAAGGCAAGAAATCCTATTCATTTCTATGGCCCCTCTTCACACCTGAGTGTTTTATCGCACAAAGTTTCCCATTGGGGCCCATTCACACCTGAGCTGTTTGATTCAGTGTGACAAACAGCTCAACACTAGGAATCCCATTCATGTCTATGAACCCAGTGCACACGTCAGCGTTTTGTTGCAAGCAGAAATACGCCTGTCGCACAAAATACTACATGAGCTACTTTGGGGGTGATTTTCAATAGAAAACACTTGCAAAATGTGTGTTGTGATCATTTGCTTGCGTATTATGCGTGTTTTGGTCATTGACATGGATGTGCCCAAATCTGCTCACAAATTGCGCGACTTAACATACGCACTCAAAAAAACGCTTAGAAAAAGATGTGTGCCGAGAGTCACTGTTGATTGACGTGCTCCTTCCCCTCTGGACCCCGTGTCATGTTATATGATGTTGAGGGACTTATGGGCATCCCTCACGGTAGGATCACCCAACTGTACTGAAATGTTACCCTTAGGCCCCGTTCACATTGAGTGATTTATCGCGCGGTAATTCCCGCGATATCAGGGCAATTTACCGCGCGATATCGCTCTTCAATGCAAGGCAATGGGGCAAAGTGTCATGCTGTCGCGGGTCGTGCGTCGCTACAGCAGGACCCTTTTTGGAGCGGATTTTGCCGCGATTCCATTCTTTGCAATGCAAGCATTTGCGCGATATCGCGCAAAATGCAAATCGCGCGACAAACGCGCGCTTTGCAAATCGTGCAGTGTGAATGGGGCCTTATTGTGATCCTTTCGCTTCGTCTACTAATGTTTACCCCTTAGATTTATGCAGCACTGTTCCTATTATGATATTTTTAAGAACCCTTATACTAGACCTGCTGGTTATTCATATTATCCTGTTGTGCTCTGCGCAGCACTGAGAATATGTGCTTTTTGTATTACCTGCCATTCGGCTTGCAAGCCTTGGCTTGGTTATCTTTTTTTATTTTTTCGTACAAAAAAAACAAACACAATAAAACCTTTGTGAAAGAAAAAGATGTGTGTAAAACGCATTTAATAGGGGTCACTTAAGTGTCAATCCAACCTGAGGTTTATGGGATGAAAATGCGCTGTAATCTGCCAAAAAGTAGTTTATATACTTTTTCCAGCGACTGGCATTTTTCCGCATGCTCCAAAATGCTCAGGTGTGAACTGTGGCAATAGAAATGAATGGGATTGCTTGTCTTGAGCGTTTTGTCGCACATAGCTTTCAGCGACAAAACGCCTAGGTACAAAGAAGAACTAAGGGTGCCCATACACTGTGCGAATTTCACCCGTTTTTTGAGGAACCGCTGTCGGCACTCTTTTGGCCAGCATCCCTCGATCAAGCGATTGAAAGGAGCTGGCCGGAAAATCTTCGTGCGACCAGAGCTGTCAGCCAATGTCCGGCGGTCGCTGTTAGAATATAATACAAATGGCAGGGTTCCTCCATCGACATACTTGTAGTGTTGATGGAAGAATCTTCTCTGTTTATCTCGAAATTTGCCTTCAGTCACTCACTATAAGGTTTTTTATTGCTGTCTGTCTTCGCCGGGGGAAGATTCACCCTTTCTGTTACGAGACGTGAAAATCAAAAAATTGGAGTTGTCACCTCAACAAGTGTCCCAAATGGAAGATTTTCACTGTCTGAAGGCCGATTCACATCACAATGAAGTGCACTGCAAGGCTCATGTTTTTTTGTGCATTGTGGAGCACAGTTAAAAATGAAT